CCTAATGTGGCGAGGGGGAGGGGGTGTTGATTCAAGTGCGGGCTATTTCAGGAGGGGGCTAATTCAGGTGAGGGGAGGGAGGTTCAGATGGGTTTTGGCTCAGGTGGGAATGTCTCAGGTGGTCAGGTGGGCGGGTTTGGTGGTTCAAGTGGGGAGAGGGGGGGGGGGCAAAGGGCAAACGTTGGGACGAGGGGGTTGTACTGGAGCAAAGGTGCAAACTTTAAGGGGGAGAGGGCGGAGAAGTTAACGGACTCTTTTTACAATTTGAGTTCAGGTTAGAAATGGAGTAGGCCGTACACTCGCTTTGCAAGCTTCTCGCATTACTCAAATTATAAATAAATTTCTTGCAAAATTTTGCACGACGCAAATAAACACAAAGGGGAAAAAATCCATTTTAATGTGATCTTCTATTTACTATATAATTCATTATATTGGATGTCAAATGAAATATAATGATTTATGTTTTTGCGAAAAAAGGAATTAAATCCACTTTTAGTCCATTTTTGTGGTCTGAGCATAACATGGGAATCGATTAAATGGACAATATTTTAAACCGCAAAAATCCATTATAACCCATAATGAATTTTTTCACTTTTTTAAAATGGATTCTTAACAAATCATGAGAAAATTTCTAAAATCTATCGAGTATCATTTTAGGAGAAAAAAATGTTTTTTGTTTTCAGAGGCTAGTTTTACTTGCGGGGCTAGTTTCTACTACCCGCAACCACATTTCGCGATTTGTTTTTCAACAAAGCGGCTTTTTTGCACCCGAGGCTTTTAAAAAAAATGAGATTGCTGTCGAAAAAAAACTTGTGGGATGGAGAGCCCGAAAAAAAACACAGATGCGAAAGTCGTGAAAAAGCTTTCTTTAAAAAAAAATTAGAACTGGAAAACGTTTGCGAGCAGAGCAAACTGTTCTCTCTGCCAAAACATGATAAGAAACACTTTGCTTTTTTTTCTATTGAATTGATTGAGCACCTAACCCCTCCAGTATAGTATATCATCTCCCCTATGACTGCTAGGACAGGAGGAGTAGTTTGATTGCATTGTTCTAGAACATTCTCTTGAGAAGCATGGGGTTTGTGTAGTGCAGTGCAGTGTAGTGTACTAACTGATGTCGTGGACTGTCTGTTTGGCCGTGCCCACAGTGTCCTTCACCCAGTACTTCACTCTGCCCAACATGAAGCTGATGATCTCGTACTCGTTGCTCTTCTCAGCCAGTCCCTCATTCACATCTCCCACAGATGCATCTGAACAGAAGGGGGGGGGGGGAAGAGATGGAACAAGTACAATACTCTATATACCATCATGTTCTTCATTGCGTCTGACTACGTCAAGGCAAAAATAGAAACAAACAACCAATCGTCTGCGAATCACATTTGAGCCAAAAAAAAGATATTACTTTTTTCTTTTTCAGTCTGGTAGATGGCCATTACACAAAGTATAATTGGTTCTACCTAATTTCGTGGAACCATTCGTTACAAGGGGAGGTAAAGATGGGGGGCTGTATGTGTATGTACCTAGAATGACGACGAATATGTTCATGGTGACTATGAGCATGCAGTTGGAGTAGCTCATGAAGAACATGCCGGCTAGAGCCTCGTCCACTTCGATCAGGTCCTGGAAGGAGAACTTGCCAAGCAGCATGTTGAACAGCGACTGCTGTGTCTGGAACACTGTCCGGTACCTCACCAGGAAGTTGCCGAAGAACAAGTAGGCCATAGTCACGAAGCCTGAAATGGTCACTCAAGTCAAGTCAAGTGAACCCCTCGCCAACCTCAACATAGACAAGCATCTCTTTCAAACAATTATATGAGCCATTTAACTCTGGCCATTTAATTATATGAGCCATATGAGCCAAATAGTTTGACAGAAACTTTGGTCGTAATTACACGCCACTTTTTTGAAGTAAAATGACATTGGTTTGCTGACTGACCGGCCTGCAGCACGACGAACATGATGGAGAAGGAGGCGATGTCGTGTCTGCAGGTGACTATGACGTCACGGAACATGGAGATCTTCTTGTTGAAGTTGAGGATCTTGAGGAATCGGATGGTGGACACGAAACAGATCGAGCCCAGAATCATCAGGAACACCTGACGAGCAGGGAAACAAAATATGCAAGTCTTCATCAATTACACATCAAAATATTTCCTGAAACGGTTTTGTATTTTGTGTGCAGGAGTACTAACGAATGAGACGCTGACTAAGTAGTTGAGGTTGACGAACTGTCTGCCCCCCACCAACGACACTCTGCTCATCGCCTCCTCCGTCTTCGTGTAGCGGTACAGAAACACCACAATAGTCAGGATGCCTGAAGTCAAGTGACACGTCAGTTTGTGAGATACATTCGCTTGCTCTTTCTCTTTAACATTGTTGTAAAAATGAACTCCTCATACCCAGCAGATCGATGAGTGCGTCGAGTAAGTTCCAGGTTTTCTTGAAGAACTCCTTCCTCTGTTTGTAGATGCGCCTCCCATCTCTAACAAGGAACACAGCCAAGAAGATGCCCAGTCCCACTTGCACCAGGATCTGAGGTAGAAGAAAACTATGATTATAAACAAGAAGAAAAGGGAGTTTATTTTGATGCAGAAACAACCCAAATATTGGAAACTGACTTCTCTATTTTTATTAATATCTTTTTAAAATGACTTTCGAAACAAAGAGGTTTCTTTCAAAACATAAATCCTGTGCGCCTTGAACGACGCAGATCTTTCAAAGTTCTCTACTTCTACCTTTTCTGAACTTACAGTCCTTAAAAACATTGCAATAATCATGCTTCAGTTTTCAACTCAGTGTCAAATTCAGAATATGCCGCAAAGCGGTTTCTGGAAACAAGGAAACTATGTTTGGAAGAGTATAGAATATCTTAATTGACAGTGCATATGAAATGTTGACACTAATTTAAACCTGGTAGGGTGCTGTTGGTCCATGGTACATTATGAGTCTGAGGGGGTCACAATAGTAGTATGCGAACACTCCCGAAGATGCTCGGAACTCGGCTACCATCGTCACCACCGCGAACAGATTGAACGTCGGGTTGTAAACGGCGAACTCATGGAACACTGCTCTAGAAGTGAAGAAAAAACAAGGTAGGTGTTAAAAGCAGCTTAAATAGGTGTTTTTTGAGGAGTGTAGCAAGATTGAGATTATGATGGATGGGATGGAGGGGGGGGGGGGGGGGGTGAAGGAGTAATAACGCTACTTAAAGAAAATCGCTATGATTGTTTTCGCTGTGGATGACTCTTAAATCTTTCCTTCTGCAGTTCGTTATAAATTACTGATAGTAAATTCCGCTGAAAAATTCAACATTGAATAGAAACAAAAGAGAAGAATAAAATGACGCGAACCTAGTGTAACGGTCGATGAATTTCTCGTTCTTGAGGTTCTGCAGTTTCTTGGTAGAGTCCTCGACGTTTCCATCCAAGTGCACGAGGAATCCCCCACCCGGGTAGAAAGCTGACTCGCCCCAGAAGGTAGCCCCATCGATTTCTTCTGCATTCACGTACCTGAAGATAAGAGTTACAGACCTTGAACTGGATGACGACAGAAGTACGAAAACTTTTACTGATCATAGAAAATTAGGAACTACTTGTTGATCTAAACTGTCAAACATTTCATCGCTCTGCTCATTACCTGTACTCCTCTCTGAGTATGTGGTACGGGTTGTTGGCGTCAAATCGGATCCACCCCGGCCCATATCTGCCCTGGTCCTCGAACTCGTCTGCGAAGGGGGGTATGCACTCTCTGGAAATGTTGTGGCGCCCAATCTTCACAGGAGAACACAAGTCTACAAAGTACGAGCCCGATTTAACTGGAACTCATTGGAAAGGAGTTTTATCAGAAAATCAAGGGCGGTGTGGGTTCTTAGATCGTGGTTTCGAATCCCACTTCGGTCACAGTTTGAGGGTCTTATCGGCCTCCTCACGGTGAGATCGGTTACGGCAAAATGGAAGGTGTCTGTTTCCTCAACGGAAGATAGATGCTAAATTGTTGTGATATTCCTAAACTGCGTAGCGTGTTGTGGAATAAAAGTAAGAAGAGATACTGTTAATTTACTGTTCTTGATCTTGTCTTGTTAACGAAGTTAGTAGCTGAGATTTGGTTACTGTTTTATAGCTTCAAATATGAAACACTGACCAACTCATCTATAACGTTTTAGTAACACCAAATGGCCTTGACCACTCTTACATAATAATAGCATAATAAATATAGTTAGCACATATGTTAACTGCAGATGCAGTAGCTAGCAAACTGTCCTCAAGGCTACGTACTGCGGATGCTGCAGTACCAAATTCCCCCAGGGACCAATAAAATTTTATCTAATACATATAAAAATTTTTAAATAACAATACTACGAGTTTTTCAGCTCAGTTTTTGTGGTCCCATTGATGCATGAAGGTTTTTGAGTTTTTACTATAAGTTTTTCCCGATTTCTTCTTTCTATTTTGAGTGTTTTTCAACTTCTAACGGCACTTTCCACTGCGTGCTCCACGGTTGTGTCGTATCCAAAGCGGCATAACCAAACTTCTTACGAACAAATGGCGTTCTAAAAGCTTCAGTCGGGTTTCCATCGGATTATTGTCTGCTTCTTTGTCCGCGCTAATGTATTTATCCGAATAATTGACTGGGCTGCCCAGTCTTTTAGGCCCCTGGTTTTTCATGGTTCGCTTACTACGCCTCACGCTCGCACTCCCTTGATCGTCTACGACTGAGTCGTCCGAAATTCCTGATGGAGATCCGTGTTCGCCTGTAGTTTCTGTCTGATTTTCCTTTCTCGATTTAATAATTTCGTCCGCCGTTCTTTGCAGACCTCTAGTCAACACTTGATCGGCGAGGCTTTGCTGTTCCTCGTCTCCCATGTCCTGTTTTTGGAACGCATTCAAGATTGAACTAGGTGAGGTGTCCCTTGTTATGCGCTTCCTAGACTGTCCAATTTTGGTGCTCAAACTGCCTGGTTGATCAGCTTGATCCACCGTTTCTGTTTGTCCTGGATCAGTGACTTCTTCTGCTGTTACAGCAGCTTTCTTTTTTATCTTTCCCATTGGATTTAAGTGTTCGATCTCTTTTATCCTGCGAGTCCCCTAACGGGTTTAACTCCACCTGCTCTTGTGTTTTCGGTCCCACTGTCTTTGGACCCCCGAGATTCGGCTTTGCTCACTTTATTGCTAGGTTGAGTCCCCCACCAACAGTGTGTCCCGCGATGTTACGACAGCCAGTCTCGCTGTCTTGAAACAGGTCCTTTGCCTGTTCCCTCGGTATGTTCCATTCCTCCTCTTCTGATATCGTGTCCTCAAATAGTTCGTCATCTTTCTTCTGGTGTTTACTCTTTGGCTCCTCTGATGGACTCTTCGCCTTCTCCTTTTGGTTTGTCCCTTCCTTGGGTATCTTCGTAGGGGAACTCGGCAACTTTACCAGATCACTTTTTCGGTATACTGCTCCTGCAGCTGTTGTCACTGTTTTTGACGAATCGAAAGCAACCTTCCCTTTGAACGGTTTTGTCAGTGCCGCCCCACTTTTTCTTGTCTCGTCTCTGCGACTGAGGTTGTGGCTGTTCCACTCCGACCCCTTTGGTTTGTCCTCAACAAATCCCTTTTCCCATGAGTAAAGAAGCTCCTTTCGCAACTCGGGGTCAATTGTACTTGTGGTGTCCACTAATTGTGTGAGGCTGGGTCCGTCATATCTACGCCGCTCTGCATTCCAGTTTGCGTTAGCCTCTAACAGGTTCCGGAGATTTCTTGCTCTGTTTCTCTCCTGTGTCGACATACTGGCCTGTTTGAAGAGAGGACTGACATCCTTGCTTTTCTGCCCTTTTTTGACGATCTTTAGAGAATCCCGAGATTGGTCAATCCTCTTCTTGAGTTGGTTTGCAGTTAATGCCGACCTCTCCAGATGCTGCTTATCTAAATGATCAGAGAATTCTACAAATTTATCTCGTATAATTTTAAACTCCGTTTTTGGTAATCTACCAAAATGTGCTTCAAACGGTGATTTCTGTATGGTTTTCTGTTTTATCCACCGCATGTCCCTAATTATCGTACTGAGACATAGTTTAATTGACTTTACATTTTCTTCCAGTAGCATCACTCCCAAACGCCTTTTTATGGTTTGAATTGTTCTTTCGACTAGACCACACCCGCGATGGTCGCCCACCGGGCAGAACTTTTGTTCTATATTATTTTCGAGACAGAATTTTTTCATTGCTTTTCCTTTGAATCCGGAAAATTGATCGGTTTTTATCGATTCTGGGATTCTGTGTGTATCTATGTACGACCGTAGGAATTTTATAGTGGATTTTCCCCCCGTTGATTTTGTTACTTTCACCGAAGGAAACTTCGAAAACCGATCAATCGCTGTTAGCAAGTAGATTTTCTTTCCTTTATAGTCTTCTAAAGGTCCTGCATAATCTAACTGAACCTCCTGACCTGGCTGCGATAGCAGTGGCAGTGGTTGTGAGGAATTTTTCGGTAAAATCCATTTTGCATTCTTACCATAGCGTGTACATTCTCTACATTCTTCCGCTAAGTTCACGATATCCTTGTGCATGTGGGGCCACCACAAATAATTGGACACGTCAATCATTGCCTCTTGCCCCGGATGTCCTCTATGAATGCGCTTCATAACTGCTTGACGCAGTTGAATTGGTACTGCTAGCCTATTGTCTACCAATATGCAGTCATCGATTACTGAGAGTTGATTCCACAGTGGAGTCGTATATGGGCCCATGAGTTCAAATCCTGCCCGATCCTTCCTCTCTATTACGCGACGTAATCGGTCCATCCGCACATCCTCAGAGATGAGTTCAGCCAACAGCGTTTTATCGAACAGTTTCGATAAACTGAAACTCCCGACGTCTCCCATGTCTGCCAATGAGCTCTCCAACTGCGTTTGCCGTTTGTTAATCCTTTTCGAGGGTTGAATTTCGCTGACTTCTTGACTCTGATTGTCGTCCTCCGCAGTTAAATCCACTTCTATGATTGATTTAGTTGGTGAAACTGAATGAGTACCTGCTCTTGGGCTGCTCGTGACCATCTGAGTGACCGCCTCTAGCTCTTTGATGTTTCCCGACATCTCTTGATCTTTGCTGACCAGATCCCAAATGGATAGTAAGTTTTTTGTTTCCACCGCGTCTTGATCCCACATTACTGATCGTGCAGCACAGCTGTCTTCTAGTGTTCCTCTCCTTATCCGACACGTTCGATGAAAGGTAGTCTCGGTTATTTCTTCTTCCGTTAATTTATCGCTCTCCTCCTGTGTCCTACAGTCTCCGATCCTCACTGTCTTTTTCTTCATTTTTCCGTCCTCCATTTCTTCTGAGATTTGTTTACTATTTTTGACTAAATTGACCGACTGAACTGCTCTATTGAAATTGACAAAAGTGTTCTGATTCAACACGTTATTAATAGGCAAAAAATTTGAATTGCAACAATTCTCGTTCCGATCGAGCTTTGTTCAGTTTTTGACAGTTTTGTTGCTATGGCAACCACGCCTGAATTTTGACAACTTGTCTTCTCTTTTCTGTTTTTGAGAATAGTCTAGAACTTTTTCACTCTGAATTGTTACATCAGTATCATTCAGTCGACTGTACAAACAGTCGAGTGCTCTATGAAAACACTCAGTTGAAGTGACCACAAATTTTTCATCCAATTTGGTTTCTGGCCAAGGTTCTCCGGTTGGTTCTCTAGATAGATAATCGACTATCCCCATATCCTTTCCCGGAATATGGACAATTTTGAATTGATAAGGCAATAATCTGTCCACCCATCTCGTTAATCTTGATTGATATGTTTTGTTAGACCTATTGCCTTCTAAGGCGGATGTTAATGCCTTATGATTAGTGACTATTACAAATTTCTTTTCCTAATAAGTAATGTTTGAAACGATCAACTGCCCACACTACCGCTAACAACTCAAGCTCATTAGTAGAATACCTTTTTTCTTGATTATTCAGGTAGCGCGATGCGAATGAAATTGGAATCCATTCGTTCTTTTCTGTTTGTTGCTCTAACGATGCCCCTAGTCCACTATGGCTTGCATCACAATTGACCCGATTATCCCTACTCGGGTCATAAAAATTCAGTTTAGCAATGTTTGCTACCGCTTGTTTGATTTCTTCGAATACTTCAGTATATTCGGGTCCCCATTCAAATTTTTTCACTGGGATTTTAATATTTTTCAATTTTTTCTTTTCATTTTCCTCACGCAATAATGGTCTAAGCTTGTCTGTCAAATTGGCTGCATTTGGTATAAACTTCGAAAGATGATTAATACTACCTAGAAAGGATCTAAGTTGTTTGAGCGACTTGGAATGCTCTAACTTAAGGATAGCTTCCGTTTTCGTAATTTTCGGGGTAACCCCACTTTCTGAAAGTTTGTGTCCAAGCCAATTTACTTCTGTTTTAAAGAATTCACATTTCGACAGCTTCAAGGATAAGTTTTCCTTATCTAATTTCATTAGAACGTCGGTAATTAGTTTTTCATGTTCTAGCTCCGATCCCTTTGAGACGATCAATATGTCGTCCAAGAAACAAAACGTATTCTTGGAATTTTAACTGATTATACGCATATTTCAGATCTAACACAGTAAAAAACAAGGTACCTGCTGTTTGTGCAGTTACTATCTGACTAACACCGTCTAACAGCTCATCCACATTCGGCATCTGATACTTGTTTTTGTATAATTGTCTGTTGATGGGCTTTGCATCCAGAGCCAATTTAATTGAATCATCTTTCTTTACTGTGATGACAATAGGGGCTATGAAACAATCACTAGTACACTTGTCTAACTTTTGAATATGGCCTTCTAGTAGTAATTTTTCGATTTCCTTCTCAATTTTTCCTTGCACATGGATGGGTATTCTCCTCCCTTTTTCCTGAATCGGGCAGAGAGGGTACTTGAATGTTGTATTTACTACATGATGTACTGATCGTCCTTTTCTGTCAAACAGGGGTTTGAAATCATCATAGAATTTTTTTTCCACGGCCCCGACTGTTCGCACAGCATTAAGTCAAATCGGAATTTTATCTTCGGGGCGTGTCTTTGCGTAGTGGCTATACCCACTTTATTTTGTAAATCTAAACCTAAGATACAGCGTGTCCTTCGTTCAGTTATCAGAAATGTGGCATCCGGAACACCAGCCAGCGGACCGTATTTTTGCCTTCACCGCACCCAATATTGCTACTTGGTTTTTTATTATAGTCCACGAATTGTGCTGGCAAGTTCAGTTTTTCGACCGGAGTAAACTGTATTTTCCCTGACGAGTCTAAAATCTGTTTCGCCACTGTCCAATTTATAAATGAAATTGGGCTTCCGGTGTCCCCGGTCATATTTATTATTTGGTTATCATTTCGGATTAGGGCTTTCAGTGATTTCATCCTTCCCGATGTTGAATCTTTCCGAATGTCAATCTTTTTCGTTTCGAGTTTGTTCACTCCATTGGTGCCACTGTTCTCTTTTACTTTATCTTCGATGTATCGATTGATCATCTCTATCTGACTGTCTTTTTGTTCAATTGCCATAACCTCAAATTCTTCGCACGAATCAAATGTTTGAATCAAATTACATTCTTCCTCCGAACTCTCTGTATTCTCAGTTATTTCACTGACTTGTTGTGAACGACACATTCGAGCAAAGTGGTTTGGTTTATTACAGTTCTTACATTGTTTTCCCATTGCCGCACAATTTTTCAAATGACCATCTACATATGGTTTGCCACACCTATTGCATTGTTTCCTATCATCTGCGTTATATTTATTCGATATCGCCCTTCCTTCCGGCAGTTTCCGTCTATTCCTTTCGCGATAGGGTTTTCTAGTATTCTGATTCCTGTTTCCTACCGCCAGGATTGGTTCCTGCTTGATTTTAATTTGAGAACCTGGTTGAGTTATTGTTTGTGCAGTACCCAGAGAGGACTTCTGAAACGCCTGTGTCGATTGTTTACTCTGCTCGAATTTTGTCGCACGTTTTAATACTTCTTCAGGAGGTAATGTTTCGAACGTGGGCGTGTCCTGCAATGCTGGACTTCGCATTTTAGAAATAAAGAGATCTCTGACTAACTCATCTTCTAAAGTGTCCAATGCCGATTTCGCTGCTTGAGCAGTTAGTGCGGCATGAAATGACTCCAACGATTCTCCCATTTCCTGCGATCTATTGAATAACTTGTAACGCTCATAGGTGATGCTCTGGCATTTTTCAAAAGTCTCCTTTGCTAATCTAGCCATCTCTTTAAATTCCAATTTAGAAATCTCAACATGTGGAATTTTTTGAACAAAACGTTTCTTTCCTTCCGTCCCAAACGCAAGAAATAGTCTGGATACTAATCGCTTTTGAACTTCGTTGTAGTAAATATTGTGACCCACTTTAGGTCCTCTTTCTCTCCTCTCTTCATTCTCGGCTGCTACTCGATCTTTTAATAGTCTGACCCGTGCTTCTCTAGCTGCTGTTGCAGCAGCAGATTCGCCCTCTCTGGGTGTTTCTGGACGGGGTTCCGGCTCCTCCAACACTGGTTTAGGATCTTCCAGCATAACTTCTGGGTTGAATTTTCTTTTACAGTTACCGCCAGCAGGAACTGATCGAATCATACTTTAAAATTCCAAGGTGGATCAGAGTTCGCTGTGGTCCCGAAAACAGGGATTCCCACGTCAGTTCTATTATCCTGAGCCAGAAATCCTGCTGGCTGCGCCATGTGATATTCCTAAACTGCGTAGCGTGTTGTGGAATAAAAGTAAGAAGAGATACTGTTAATTTACTGTTCTTGATCTTGTCTTGTTAACGAAGTTAGTAGCTGAGATTTGGTTACTGTTTTATAGCTTGAAATATGAAACACTGACCAACTCATCTATAACGTTTTAGTAACACCAAATGGCCTTGACCACTCTTACATAATAATAGCATAATAAATATAGTTAGCACATATGGTTACTGCAGATGCAGTAGCTAGCAAACTGTCCTCAAGGCTACGTACACCGGATGCTGCAGTACCACAATTGTTTTCAAAAATTCGACCCTTGTAATGGACTGTGTCTACAATTAAACTCACGATTTTTTAAACTTGTTACGAGTGATATTTTTTTCAGTCGGGAAATGGGGAAAAACAAGATCGTCAAAACAAGTTTCTTAACAACATTAAAATTCTGAAAAGTCGAATGATTAAAAATGAGTAATAAATAAATGAGTTAAAGGTATGGTTTTCTGCTACTTAATGGCCTTTTAACGAGCTTCTTTTGCTCAGAATTGAGTTGTCTTTGTTTCATGTGCTCACCCTTCCTGACTCTGAGTTGTCGGATGACAGAGTAGCCGATGATGAGGTTGTTTCTATCCCCGAAGTAGCCATACAGCCCCAGTGGTCTGTCCCCATTGTACCATGCAGTGGCATACATGCTGGGCATGTAGTGGTCTATCAAGTAGTCCCAGTAGCTGTCTATGTCGTGCACCTACCACCACAACACAACTCACAACACAACTAACTCTCTGCAAAATCTCATTTCGAAGTGTGAACATAATTCGCATTTCTGAATACTCTATCGAATGCATGCTGGGAAAAGCGCCAAGAAGAGACAGAATGAGGTTTTGAGAATATTTTGGATGGCGCTTTGGCTCCCAAGCTAGTTAGTGTAGTCGTACCTGGTCGAATGAGTTGGTGAAGAGGACATCCTTGACCTCCTCGTAGAGTAGGTATCCGGTGGCGTCCTTCTCTATGTAGCAGACTGAGAAGAGGAGCCAAGTGAACAGGGCGTAGACTGTAATCTCCTGCACCACCCCGAACATGCCGATCTCCTTAGTGCGCACCTACACACAACACAACATAGCACAAGAGCAAAGGTCACTGCTATAGTATGGGTTCAAGGTCAGAGCAGAGACATATTATAAGGTATCTCGCATTATCCGAATACTTTTACTATTCCCGGAAACTTCTCCGGTCACTATGATATAATCATTTGATTCTGCTGTAACAGACAAGGTGAAATGAAATCAAATGCTTACATTTGTACCTCCCGTGATTGTTCTATAGAGATGGAACTTTAATAAAATTCAGAGACAAAAAGACAGATTTAATGTGTTCTGATTTTGACAGAAGGGTTCTCTGAAAAACTCTCCATGTAACACAAATATTACATTGCGTTATTGTGTTTATTTTTGGGTTCTTTTTTGTAAGTCGGATGATCTCAAACTAGAAGAGGGCTTACTATTCGGAGGAATCCCTTCTTGCTGCGAGTCAGTTGTCCAGGTAGCAACTTCTTCCTCTTGGCCAGCTCATTCTCCTCGTCCAGATACTCCTCGTCCGGCAACTTGCCCACAATCAGATCCCCCACCTCGTCACCCGCGTACAAGTGCTGGTCCTGCACAACAAACATGTTCAAGTCTGAACAGGCCCCAAAAAAAGTATCTACACATTTTTGGTACCCAGAAGATCTGTGGCTCCAAGGAATCTTTTTTTTTCAAATCTTTGGCCCTGAACATATTCTTGATGCCGATGGATGTGAAAAAGAAGACTGCCACTTTTGCAGCATCAGCGCCCTTTCTTTTCTTTTCTTTTCTTTTCTTGAACAACAAACTTAAGTTTCTCAACTTGTTTGCTTTCTCAATAAATCGGCATCGGATCAACCAGAAAGCGATACTGGGAAGAAATGTGGCGGAAATAAATGACGCCTCTCCCCCTGAATCAATTTAGACCATCTAATTTCAATTTTATTATCAATCATTTGCTGCTCTTCAGTAACAAGATCGATTTTCGGCCGTCAAACCCTGCAGTTTTTTCAACAAGTATCAATAGTCAAAAATAACAAATTCAACTCTAAATTGATGTTCTTGCCAGGATAAACTATTTTTATTTAATGCAGGGGCGGATCTAGGATTTTCTCGAGGGGGAGCGGATTTTCAAAAAAATTTCGAAAATTTTGACGACGTTTTTTTTTAGGTCGATCAGATTGATTTTCCGAGCTCTCCCAAAGCAGTAAAAAGACCCTGTTTTGGCCAAATTTTCTGCACAGCAGACAATTTTTTGAAAAAACAGGTCAAAAAAGCCGTTTTTGGGCACTTTTTGGAAAATTTTGACAAAAAAAAACGCGTTTTTTTTTTGGCGCGCGCTCCCCCTCAAAATTAGTATATATTGGCGCCAAAGGCGCCTTTAGAAAAATTTTAGGGTGGGTCGGCCAAAAATGGATTTCTTAAAAAGTACCAAATGGGGGACCCTTTGGGTTGGCAGGGGTTCCAATCCATTAGGGGGAGGGGCGTCCGCCCCCCCCCCCCCTAAATCAGCCCCTGATTTAATGCCAAGGGCATATAAATGAACCGAGTTAGCTCACCAAAAACTGTTCATTTGAAGTCGCAAAACTTAATAATAATCATAATCATAATAATAATCATAATAATGATAATAATCATAATCATAATCATAATACTAATCATAATAATAAAATTAATAATCATAAAAAAATTCAAAATAGTAATCATAATAAAAATAATAATATAATAACTTTAATAATAATGATCATAATCATAGTAGTCATAATAATAAAAATAAAAATCATATTAATCATAATCATATTAATCATAATCATAATACTAATCATAATAATCATAATCATAATCAAAATAATAATCATAATAATCATAAAAATAATATTAATATTAACAATTATAATCACAATAATCATAAAAATAATCATAATAATCATAAAAATAATCATAATAATAATCATAATAGTCATAATAATCATAATATTAATAATCACAATAATAATAATAATGACAATAATAATCATAATAATAAAACTAACAATCATTTCAATAATCATAATAGTGTTATTAATAATCATAATAATCATAATAATCATAATAATCATAATCATAATAATAATAATAATTTTAATCATAATCATAATATGAATCATAATAATAATAATCATAATCATAATCATAATAATCATAATAATTATAATCATAATAGTAATATAATAATCATAAAAATAATCATAATCATAATAATAATCTTAATCATAATAATAATAATCATAATAATAATCATAATCATTATAAATTCGTTTACGAATCAAGCACATTGCAGAAATTGTTTGTTATAAATGTGCACTTTTGGTGGCGTCAATTAGAATGGTCACCGTAATGCTACAAGACTGTTTTCAGGTGCCAGTTGGGAGCAAATTGGAAACTCAGAATCTAGAATTTTGTTGTTGTTCGATTGAACCCCAAAATTTCAATTAAACCGTTTTTTTGATGTAGATGATCGAAATCATAAAGATCCAGTAGCGGATTTAGGGGAAGGGGGACCAAAAGGTGGCGCTTTCGGCGCCAATAAACTAATTGTTGAGGGGGGGGGGAGCCGAAAAAAAGGGATTTTTTGGTCAATATTTTCCAAAAAGTGCCTAAAAACGCCTTTTTTGGCCTGTTTTTCAAAACCTTGCCTGCGGCGCAGAAAAATTGATTATTTATAGTGATTTAGGAGAGCTCAGAAAATCAATTTGGTCGACATAAAAAAAGGTCGACAAAACTTTCGAAATTTTTTTGTAAATCCGCCCCCCACGCTCAAGAAAATCCTTGATCTACCCCTGTAAAGATCAAAAAGGATTTTTCATTATGATTTTTAATATGCACTTGTCTTAAAACAAAGCTTTTGAAGCTTTTGAAGTTTTAAGCTACTCGTTTTAAGCTTTTGAACACAAGAAAAAAGCTCAAAAATTGTTTAACTTAAGTCATCCCCTGTTTTGAGACAATCACCTACTGAATCTGACCAAAATTGCCAAGAGTATTTAGCATGAATTATAATTTTGAAGTTGAGCCCTTGCCTTGTCGTAGTCTGGTAGTTGCTGCTGCTCAGTGTCGTTCTCATTGTCTATCATTTCGAGCACTTCCGTGTCGCTGTTCCGCTTCTTCGCTCTCTTCTGACAAAGGAGGGAGAAAAGGACGGCCAACAGGAAGATCTAAATCAGCTCTTCATTATCATTTCTAAATCCCAATTTTCATCAGGATTATTTGTGACTTTTCCATTTTGACTTTTAAATAGCCATTTTTTGGCATTAAAGAACATCTGAAAACTTTACAGCTCAAAATTAAAAAAAAAGTGTTTGCGACTATTTTTTTAGGTGTTTGAAAATTGCCAATTGAGCCGATTCGTATGAATCATCTTGCGCTATATTTCAATTAACATTTATCAACAACATCAAAACGCAGTCGCAATATCCAGGAATCTCTCCAAAAACAAGTGAAGTGTGTCTAGTTTGTGTTTGTTATCGATGACGGATGAATCAATTGAATCCATATGCATAAATTAATATTACACACGACTCCGTTCATTCCGCTGATCCAGTCAAGCTACTATGGCCGAGTGGTTAAGGCGTTGGACTTAAGTTCCAATGGACAAAAGTCCTACTGGGTTCGAACCCCAGTGGTAGCAGAAACTTTTTGGAAAAGAGATTACAAACGCTCATAACACAAAACATTTAACAATTTTCCTTTTCGTTCAGTTTCAGAACTGTTTTTCCAAAAAAAAATTGCTTGCCCCTCTCTAAAAATATCGAAAAAAATTCGAGTTGTATTGTTTCTATTGATGGGCTAAGAGTTATGACAGTTAAAGAGATCAAGTAATTTTTATATATTCCAATAGTGACATGCCGATCAATTACTGAGAAGATTTTCTAAAAACATTTTTGCGAATCTTCTTGCTTTTCTGCAATCATATTTTGTTAAGCAATGAAAGCAAGCTACTATGGCCGAGTGGTTAAGGCGTTGGACTTAAGTTCCAATGGACAGAAGTTCTCCTGGGTTCGAACCCCAGTGGTAGCATAAAATTTTTGGAAATGAGATTACAAAAGCTCATAACTCAAAACTATTAATAATTTTCCTTTTCGTTCAGTTTCAGAACTGTTTTTCCAAAAAAATTGCTTGCCCCTCTTTAAAAATATCGAAAAAAATTTCGAGTTGCATTGTTTCTATTGATGGGCTAAGAGTTATGACAGTTAAAGAGATCAAGTAATTTTTATATATCCCAATAGTGGCATGCCGATCAAATACTTAGAAGAGTTTCTTTTGCGAATCTTCTTGCTTTTCTGAAATCGTGTTTTGTTAAGCTATTAAAGCAAGCTACTACGGCCGAGTGGTTAAGGCGTTTGACGTAGGTTCTAATGGTCTAAATTCCTCCTGCGTTCAAACCCCAGTGGTTGCAGAAAGTTTTTGAAAATGAGATGAAAAGCTGATAACACAACTGTTTTCCAAAAAAAATTGTTTGCCGCTCTCAAAAAATAACAAAGGAAAACTTGAGTTTTATTGTTTCTGTTGATGGGCTAAGAGTTATGACAGTTAAAGAGACCAAATATAAATCCCAAGAGTGGCATGCCGATCAAACACTTGACGTTTTCTCGTTGATTTCTTAAAAATTTTTTGCGAATCATTTTTAGCCATTCGTTTTTGATGATCACAGCTTCCAAGATATTACGCCCGAGTGGTCACCGCGTTGGACATAAAGTTCGAACACAGAGTTCGAACCCCAGTAACAACAATCGAAACGCATTATTTGAGAGAAAACGATTTCAATATCATCCTCATTTTCTAAATTATGTGATTTTGTGTCAAGATTTTAATCTATTTCATCAATATGATGCTCTTCAAGTTGATAAAAATGTAAACTTCTTAAGTTAAAGGCTATCAAATACAGTGAATCAAAAATCTATCGTACAAAAACATTGAAAAAGTTTCATAACTGTTACATGCCACCATGAACTGTAAAAATTCATAATTCAAACAAACAAAAACTTTTGTGGGACAGAATGAAAAAGAATAATAAGTTTAAATCTTTCTCAGAGAACTCAACGAGTGCAGCAAATTAGTATCCACGAACAGTATCATTTGTGCTACTGTTTTTTTTTTACTATACTGAGTGTATATGGGGAGCAGTGGTGAAGTGGTTACGTCTCCGCCTCTCAATCGAAAGGTCGGATGTTCGAGGCCCACCATGATCCGTGCTCGTTGCTTGAGGGTGAGGCAACATTACCCAGCCCAGAAAAATAACCAAAAAAAAATTGCATGTAGTTCTTAAGCAGGGGCACAACAGCGGTTCGCCGTGATGAGCTGTACAGCTCGTATGTTGGTCCTATCCCTCGTGGATAAATAAATAAAAATATATGGTATCGTTACCTTGAATGGCTGTATCATGAAAATGGACATGAACATGGACACTATCATGGTGACGACCCACTTGGAGATGAGGGCACTGCCCCCCTGGAATGCGATCATGGCCGCGTACATGGAGATGAGCGCAGTGCATGCTAGCATGATGGTGATGGCCAGCAGCCAGTCTATATACACGAAGGAGGCCGGCAACATGAACGGCTGCTTCTTACGCTTCTTCTCTGAAGCACAACAACCAATCCAACTATTTCCACCCACTCTAAACTGAACAACGAAAGTCACCTGGAAACATCTCAATGAGTTGGATTGACTTACCAATTCAAATTAGCCATAAACAGGAGGAAATGTAAGAGAGCTGAAGGAAACCAAAGCACAGAAACTACTTTTATGTTCGATTGATTGCCTAAAAAGGTTTGCAAAGTTTTTCTGCCCTTTTCGGCAGTTATGCATCAATCATGCTTGACACCAATACAGTTTCAACATTTTGATTCTATTTAAAAAAGGAAAGTGAGCTGTTTCTGTTTTTCATCTTTATTTTAACTTCTCTATTACCAATTAATGCATAAATTATGAGCAAAGCTACTTTCAGCGTTTTCAGTCACATTTATTCTGTTTGGCAGCAAAAACAGCGACCAACACCCCCCCCCCCCCTCACGCACCTGTCCATCCGAAGCAGCACTGGACGAGACAGAAGAACTTGGACTTCCGGAACCTCTCGCAGCAGCTCAAGTCCTTCGAGTCATCCTGGTCGTCGTCATCGTCGAAACTGAGGTCGGAGTCGCTGGAGGAGCTGTCCAGGATCTCTATCTCGTTCACCACCTCGTCCGGGTCAATCAGAGGCGCCAGGGTATCTGTCACGACCTGATGAAAAAGAACACGGAACAGAATACAAACACTTTCTGTTATATCTACAGAAACATATGGTTCTGAAGCTTTGAGTTCACAAATTCCACTTAAAATATCACAAAAAACACAAGTTAATAAGTTTTTGCGAGCATTATAGCATCCTAATTATGACTTTCAATTGTCAATATCTCGTTGACTATTATAAATCTGTTGAGTGTCTGTTGTTCGTTTTATCTGTTGTTACGCTTCTACTCTTAAATGGCCAAACTAAAAGACTTGATATTTCTTACATGAAAAATCGATTGTGTGCAAGTCATGGTTCATAGTTATTTGAAGTTGGCAGAAAAGTGGAAAAAAACTATCTAACTTGACTTTGCACTTCATTTCCATGAGGTGGCTACCTTACTAACAAAAAATGGATTTCACACATATAATGTAGCAAAGGCCTAAAAAATTGATTTGCATCGATATAAAATCAATTTAGTTGGATCCGAAAATGTAGCTTTAAGAATGAGTTTTAATCAATTTATAAAAATTTTTCTTCATTTTTTGTGTACCTAATTTAGACAAATTTTATAAATGTTATATTCAAATGCTCTCGGTTATCAAACAAAAGAAAAAATTGGAAAAAATTTCAAAGTACTTTTTCTTTCATTTGAGTTTTGCGTTGACGTATTATTATAAAAATTTTCTGCACCAAAAAATAGCTGTTTTGTAAAGAGCGTTTTGATAATATGTTAATTAAATATCATAGTTGCGCTTAAAACGGCGTTAAAGAGAATGGCATTTGAAGAAATTTTGCATATTTTTCTTTTTCATATCGCGGAAGTGCCTAAATTTGCAAAATTCTTCTTGATTTTCTTGAGTATAAAAAAGATCTCAAGTTACATTAACTAATTTTTGTTGAAGCTTTGATGAACTTCAATACATTGCACTATCTTGCAAAAGCCCATTTTTATCAAATAAAAAAGTTTTTTTTTCTACTGTAAAAACTCAGTTAGCCCAGTCTGAATCTATTTGCGTATCTAAATGGGCTATCTATTTCTATACTGTATAAAATTTGTTTAAAAACTGATTGAAATCGATTTCAGTCTCAAGTTTGACAGTGCGGGTTACAATTATCCCGCAAGAGTCAAAAGTGCATTTTCGACAAATTTCATCGATTTTTGCGTCGGTTGAGGGCCCCTAAAAGCAACGTAACTAAATTTTTCTTGCGCTCAGAAAATGAGATATTTGTTGAACTTTAAACTAATAGTTCTTTTGTTAACATGGAAAATTTTTTTGAAAGTGCTTCTATTTGAGCTTAAAAAAGTTGAAGAATATAAAAATGTATCATTTAAAGTAACCATTGAGCAAAAATCAAGCATCAGTTGATGAGTACTTACCTAATTGAAGTAAAAGAGTTGAAGTTGAATGAAAAAGAAGAATTCTATTAGCATTATTCCAAAGTACGACAAGAAATCATATCCATTTTTTTCAATTTTGTAAGTAGGAAATAGGCTGGGGACAAATATACAAAAAAAGAATTACAAAATTACATTCCTCACATTCAGGAGCAAAAAAGCATTCAAAACAAAATGGGCTGAAACTTTTCGCGAGTAACGCCAATTCTTTTTTTTGTTACAGTGCTGATTTAATTTAACCAGACAGAACGAACAACTTTAGAAAATTGAAACGCGTTTTTCTCAACTTGGTTCAAAATAGAAAAATCAATCGCGTTTTTTATCAAATTGGATCAAATGATACAAAAAATGAGGAGAACGAAAATTTCCTACATTTTCACTCGGGTTTAATATGAAGCATTTTGTTTTAATTCTCAACCAAACTTGTACCCCAAAAATTGGTGATCTTGGCATTTAAATTAAGCAATAATTACGCTAAAACTATCAAGTTAACTGATTTGAAAACTATCTCAAAAGGAGTCTCTTACACCGCCCAACAATGTTCTAGAATAATGGAATTTTCAAAAATTTGTATAAAAGAAAATATCTAAGGTCGATAACCAAAAAAGTCAACTTTACTGTACAAGAAATCTTTGCTTAAAAATGCCAAAGGTTTTACACAAACTTTAGAAAGTTTTATCTGTCTAGAAAGTTGTTGAGCTGTGTAAAAGGCTTCTTTTGATATAACGATTTTGACTTTCTCAACAATTAACTTGGTAGTTGTAGGGTAATTCTTGAATAACTAAAAAAAAGCCAAAAAAACGGTCAATTAAGGATTCCACGACAGCTTAAACTTAATAAACACATGTACTTTTATCTGTTTGTAGATTCCACAAACTGATCCAGATTTGGCAAATTTTGTTGCAATTTCCACAAATTTTTTTGCGGATTCCGCAAAGTTGCCTGTTTTTGGAGCCATTCCAAAACAACAAAAAAGATCAAAGACAATTAGTAATGTTGCGGATTGCGCAAAAATTCTGTTTTTAGCGTGTTGCGGAGTCCGCTAACAATTCAAAAAATACACAGTTTGGCCTCGTAATGAAATTAACCCTTTTTTGAGAAAAACGCGTTTCAAATTTCAAATTTTGTTCGGATGTTTTAAATTAGCTCTGTATTCAACAGTAATATCAACTAAACACTTTTGTACGTAGATTTTCTAATAACCGGTAACATCATAATTTGCTATCGGCTAAGTTGGAGTCGGGTATTTCGAATATGTCTTGTGTTTGAAATTGAAATAAGATTTTAATTAAATAATTATTATTTCAGTTCGGATGTTTGAGGTATTTATGACATAGACCCGGAAGAACCAATCCCGTTGACAATCTCCCATCCGAAAAGTTCCATTCAAACAAAAAAATACATTCATCGGTTAAGCGCATACGAATATTGTTCCTTGTAACGCTTTCCCCATTTTACAATGGGGGGTCTAAATTAAACAATATTCAGGAAATCGTAGAAATGACAACAAATTATACAAACATGTTCAGCTCTTTCGTTTATTTGGACGTTTTTGGCCTCTTTTCGGTTTCCGCCAGACTCCGTTGCGGACGAGCCTTGCTTGAGGGAACTCTTGCCCGAAGAGAGGCTTCGGTGCTCGGATGCTTCGGAGGATCGACCACTCGCGTTCCATTTCTTCTCTGCCTCTTCAAGCGGACCTGTTTTCATGGGCAGATATTTGAGCCCAGGGATGTTCAATACTTAAGTGTCCGTTACTCATATACTTACAACAGTATTTACAATCATAATCATTTTAAACGCATTTCAATTATCATTTAAAAGTGACAAATGATCATAAAAACAAATAATCAAACAAAAAGTGACAAATAATCATAAAAACCATTGATACGTTTGATATTATATAGGAAAAAATGTCAAAAAGACCTCTCATTTCAGTCCGCATTACATCAAAAAAGCGTTGTAACTTTTGCAACGACAATACATTTTATATTGCGTTTACCGTGAACGTTTACTTTCAATTCCTACTTTTCATCCTAATTTGGCATTAAAGTTTTTTCGATCAAGCCAACGTGGTTCGTTTGAATCTTTGTTAAATTTGTTTTTCATATTATCCAGTGGAACATCCCTGATTGTGGGGCAATCAACTCGTCTCGCTTCCCAGGAATCACTCCCAGGTGTTCGGCCATCTGCAGCTTCTTCAGTCTTTCCTGTCTTTTGCGCTCCTCCCGATTTCTTCTTTTAGCCGCATTTTCAAATTCTTCCTCGGCGTCCAAATCTGCAGAAAAAAAAACATGCACAAAAATCAAATATGAAAGCATAAAAATATCAAGATTTTTCTTCCAGAAAAAAAACAAGCCTCACGACCAGCTGAAATTTTTCTTGGGGGGAGGGGTGGCGGTTTTTCGGAAAAAAAATGAAAATTTTGTGGATCTGTTTTTAGGTCAAGTAATTTCTGATTTTCCGATTTCTCTGAAATTACTATGAGGATCCTATTTTGTCAAAAAATTTTCTGTGCCGCAGGCTGGGGCGGATCTAGGGTTTTCTCGGTGGGGGGGGGGGGGGGGGTAGTTCTGATTTTCGAAAAATTTTCGAAAACTTTGACTTTGTCGACAGTAGCGGATTTAGGGATGGGGGAAGGGGCAGACGCCTCCCCTCTCAGGGATTCGACCCCCTGCCGACCCACAGGTCCCCCTTTGTACTATTTTCGAGATATCCATTTTTGGCTGACTAACCCTAAAGTTTTTCTAAAGGCGCCTTTGGCGCCAACTTATATTAATTTTTGACGGGGGTTTAAGCGCCGAAAAATCGCAATTTTTTTGGTCAAAATTTTTCCAAAAAGTGCCTAAAAACGCCAAAAGGTCGACAAAATTATCGAAATTTTTTTGAAAATCCCCCCTCCCCCCTCGAGAAAATCCTAGATCCGCCCCTGTTTGTCTAACTTTTTTTTAGGTCGACCAAGTTGATTTTTCGAGCTCTCACAAAGCACTATAAAGACCATGTGGCCAATTTTTCTTGTATGTAAATGTTTGAAAAAACAGTCCAAAAAAGGCGTTTTTAGGCACTTATTGGAAAAATGTTGACCAAAAAAACACCATTTTTTTGGCGCACGCTTTCGCCTCAAAATTATTAAATATAGGCGCCAAACGCGCCTTTAGAAAAATTTAGGGTCCGTCAGCCAAAAATAGTACAAAAGGGGCCTCTTTGGGTCGACAGGGGGTAAATCCCTGGGGGCCCTTTGAAAAAATTGGCAACCAGAATAAAAAAAGCGGTCGCCAACCCCCCCCCCCCCCCCCTCGGAATGCTACCGGTTACGACCTTCATAAGTGTCTTTACCTCGTGCATTGACACTCAATGACAGTAAACTCAGTTATACTTAGTGGCAAGACAAACTTTGGACCGACAGAACTAATTAAAAAGAGCAATCTGCCGATTGAGAGCAGAGAGTGCATGCAAATGTGACTTCTTAGGCGGCCTTGACGTACAAATTATGACTGAAAAAATAACTTATGCATGCAGAAATCTTCTAATTAGATTTAATACAATTCATCCCCAATGGAAAGTGCCAAAAAGGAGCCGTTAAGCCCATTACGGAGATACGTTGCCCTCTCGCTGCATTAAAAAACTTGTATTTTCTTTCACAAGTTTTGCTCTACTTAATTAATTTAGTCTGTCCTAACTCATTGCAGATCTCTTATTTTTAACATCTCAATAGCACCATGATACTTGAATCTCAATTTAGTTGAGCTTCTTATTGACCTTTCTATAAGTATTGATATCTTATTTTGTAGCCGTTGATAAAATTGATACCATTGAAAACATGTACAAGCAGGTTGACGTCTCTTCATTCATAAATCATACCAATAAAGTTTTTTCATAATTCGATTAGTCTGGTTTTTATGCCTAGTAAGTTGAATAATTTACGAGCTGTTTGAGTTGTTCAAGTTATCATGTAATTACGGTTTGAACCAACACTGAACTAACTCCATTTCTCAAGCCAAATTTTAACTTCAATATTATTTTTGTGCTATTCATATTTTAAAAAGACAGATTTGTATTCGGTTTTATCTTTTTATCAAAATGAAAGTTTCGAGTTTGTCAAAAGCTGCAGCACCAGCGTTGTCATGGTGCAGTAAATTCACACGTCTTAATATCCCCACTTTGTCTTCCAAAGAAGTTACTCTCAGCAATATATACCTGAGGGACAACTCACAGTCCACAGGCAGTCTGAACCCTACAAGTCAACAACGTCTGCACCTCATAAAGGACATTGACCTTCAAGTGCATCCGGTGGACGTCAGACTGACAGACGACGCAAGTGGATTCAAGGTCATTTGGTCGGACAGCGACGAGAGTTCATATGGGTTCGACTGGATTCGAGAGAATGTCCTCAAAACTGAATTGAGATCCAACATAAGGAAGGAACCCTGGTCGACCCGAGAAATGAGCAGAGAGAAAGTATCCTTAGATTACAAAGATGTTCTAAGCAACACCGAAGCTCTAAGTTAGTTCCCAATTCAATTTTGTCACCTTGTAAAACTAGAAATCACAACTAGCGGTATAAGCATAGTTGATAGAAAGTATTCATGAACTCCGTTTTTTTAAAATAATTACCCGCACTGACGGACAAAACTTGAGATTCAATTCGATCTAAGTCGGTTTTTATACAGATAAAATACGGTAGCCCATTCAGATGATAAACATCGAGTTAGAACAGGTTTAAGCGGAATTTACGGTAGAAACAAATTCAATTTTGTTGCCTAAACAATTGATGTAAATTGATATAAATGGACTTTCACAGGTCAGTCAAATCGATCGAAACCTCAACAAAAATAACTTAACTTTACAATAATTTTAATTAACTTTTGGTTTTTGCTTCGAAGTTTTTTTACTCAAGAAAAAATTCAACAGAGCTTCAGAGAGCAAGAGGCATCCGAGGAGAGTTTTCTTACCGCAAACTAATAAATCAAAGGGAATCTATTTAAAATTTGCGAATTCAAGGATTCCCGTGGTAATGAAATATAAAATCATGCAAACTGTCTTCAAATGTTGTGCTCATTATCAACGTTTTAGGTGCAATTTTGTCCAGCGAACAACATAAAATTCAAAAACACAATGAACAACGATTTTCCCTCTTGGTTATACTCATAGTTTTGTTCAGAACAAACAGTTACAAGAAAAGTCGATTGAAAAGCATACGTTAGAATATTTTTTTGTTTGATAGTTGAAAAAATTTGAAAATAATCTGTGCACCAGTTGTATCAATATAATAAAAAAAAGAAAAAGTGGATGAAAAATGATTTAAAATGATTTAAGTTAATTTTGGTAACTAAAATCCGTATGAAAACTGAAACCAAATGAAGCCAACAAATGGATTAAATCGAATTAGAATACAAATTGTTTAGGGTACATTTTTCAAACTAAATCAATTTTTAATCATTTCAAATTGATTGTTTTTAGGTTTTTGCTTCATTATCTGTATGAAACTGATTGCAATTCAGTGCTTGTCAGTACGGCTGTTTTCTCCATCTACTTGGGTTCAAACCCAGGAGGATGAAGTCATGAACGTTTTTTTTTCATTGTTCAAATTAACGCTGTCAAAATAGCGAACGCAGTTGAGTAGTAACTTTACAAATCTTACAGTTTGTAGTCAAGTTCAACTGCATAATTGTTCATACATTTCTAATTATTCATAAATGTTCCGACCATTGAAAATGTGGAGGAACTTTGTATGTGGGTGTGTTTTAGTTTTTTTGTTTTGAACCCAAAATCAAGTACTTGGGTAACGTTAGTTTACTTTGAGTATTTTAGCGCAATTTTGAAAATCATTTTTTCAAAAATTCAAAAACCTCGAAAACATTTTCGAAAATTTTTTTTGATTTTTTTTTCATTTTACTAGTAAAGTTTCTACAATTTTTTTTCAGTTTGCTTATTTTAGTATGATTGTCGAGTATACTAAATCCCCCGTTTTTTGTTAAGCTCCTTTTATCACACCACGCCGAAAAAAATTGGATTGTATTTCTTAAGGCTATGGTCGGAGCCAAAATTTGAAATTCAAAACGCGTGTTCTCAAATTGGGTTGACTTTTTGCGCCCATAATTTTCACGTTGCACCACTTTTGCCGCCCAAATCGGTTAGGTTGTGGTAAGCCTGAAGCCAGAAGTCAAATGAGAGCAAGGGATTGATACAGTGGATCGATTACACGATCTAAGGATCTGAAAAAAGCGTCTTACACCACTATGCTAAGTGCCTCTTGGACAAAATAGTAACTTGGACAAAATTTCTCTTCAATTCAAAAGAATTTGATGTAAGTACCCAAATAAAGTATAGTTCAATTATTTTTTTGATAGTTTTGAGAATTCTCTTATATTTATCGATTAGCCTGTATAAATCATTATTTGTCTGTTTTTCTGCTCCTTGACCTTTTCTGCTCTTAGATCATTCTGCTCATTGACTAGCCACCCGTATTTATTCATTTCCCAATTGCGAGGTAGATTGTCAACCTGTGATGAATCCGCTGAGCTTCTCTCACTATGACGTGAATGATTTTTAATTTGGTTTTAATAGTACTCAGTAGTTGACGGTCCGTTTCTTTAGCTTTAATTTTTTTTATGGAAGATAGAAATTTGTTTTTCTTTTTATTTTTAGATGTTAATTTATTTGTGATTTGTGTTTGTTTGCACTTAAAACTATGATCGGAATATTATCTACCTTTTGCATAGAAACCGGCTGCCCTAGTTATTCCAAATGCAGCATTTTATATCATTCTATTCCAAATTAGGTTGTGGCCAGAAAAAAGTTCGAAAAAATTATCCGTTTGTACTTATGACATACAGAAAAAAGAGAAGATTTTGTTGTAATGTTCAGAGATTCGTCGTAAAAGGAGTAGTCCTGATAGTTTTATGCATTTAATCAGGGTAATTTTTATCCGACTGAAAAATAATCAAAAAGCGACTCTCTAAGTAGATCAGAGGCCAAACAGAACCACCTAGATAATAAATGAGCGTAAAGGAAACTTCACTTTCGATACAATCAGTGGACAACCCGGGTTGACCTCCATACACCGAAAATGATTATCATACAATTCATACATCAAGTGTGTGGAAAAACGCATGTCATACAATTTTCCCAAAACTTCGAAAAATGGTTGAAAAAAGATAAAAACTAATTTCTATCGCTGCTTGATTCTAAAAAACGCTGGAAACTAATTTTTTAAATGGCTTGCTTAATTATGCTTCATAATTGAAAAACTCTCATTTTAAAAAAAATACTCATTGTTGAAAAGTTTTGCCAAAATTTTGAAAGTTTGTTACCTTCGGTAAATCATTTATGTAAAATAGCTCTAAGACAATTCAGGTCGTTTTCTATGCATTGTAAATACAAAATTGTCCAACTTTTGGTGCTTTCAGTAAACCAAGGTCTTTGTCACTTGCGGTAGGCTACGAACATAACCCAAAGTTTTTCAGAAGTTAAATTTAGAAAAACAACTACTTCTTTTATGGAAAAATATTTATCGTACAATTTTCATATATGGAAAATGCTTGTCATAGAGATTTCATAAATTTTTCTGTACATTTGGAATTGTATGGAATTGTATGGTAAGAAGTTTTTCATTTTGGAAATTGTGTGATAAGAAGTTTTGGTCAACCCGGGGACCGAAACAATACAAAACTCATTTCGTTCACAAACGGTTAAAAACTTAGGATACAGCACAGCATCGATTTTAAGGCAGCCTCTCACATCTGCCAATCAAAACTTTGAACCCATGAGCAGCCAAAGAGTTCTTTTTTCGTAAATGTCTACATCCATTTTTCGGCCAAAAGTTTTTCTGAATTAACTTCGGCGCAATATTCTCTGAATTTGAAAAATATACTCATCCAAAGATTTCGAAAAGAGCCCCAAATTGTTCATGTTTGCCTTCATTATTGGTTCTTCAAAAATATGATGCGGTGCAAAAAAATGCAAAAATTTGGGTCTTCATTCTCTTAGGATCTTTAAAGAGTCTTTGTTGAAGACGTCGGACAAATATGGTCAACTTAAGAAGGAAAATATTTTGAAAAACTTTGAACACCCCCCTGGATAAGCTGCTAGTTGCGTGGCGGATACAATTGGGCTTGTTTAGGGAAATGTTACGAGACCATTTGGAAGTACGGCTTGTGTATCCTCAGGGGTTCACCATTGGAGCCCAGAGGGGTTGTGGATGTCTCCAGACTCATCGGGGACATCAAGAGTTCACGGGAGTACGCGGAGGCAGACAGCAGTGGAGAGAGATACTTCGAACTGAACAGCAGGGAAGACAAAGCACACTTCGATCTGGGATACTCCGAGTTAGTCTCAAACTCACTTCTAGTTTTAGTGGCTGGCTTCCTTGTGCATCAATTCACCATATGCCATGAGTTTCTTTTTCTATTTATTTGCTAAACAAGTTCAGTGGTGATAGAAACTTGTTTATCCACGCGGAATCGGGAAGCTCGTAAAGGCTTCTGAAGCGAACACCTTGTTTGAATTTATTTTTTGTGCGTATTTTAGTAAATGATGAAATTTTTCCTCAGATTTGATCAAAAAATGCGGTTAAAGATGACGCTTTTGTTTGTGTGTTAGTAAACCACTGGGCATGCACACAGACAACTCGGACTTGGAGTTGCCGGCAGGTGTGATCAGTCTGCAGGTGGTCAAACAGGCAGAGAGGGGAGGGGACTCTGTGTTCGCAGACTGCATCAAGGCCGCAGATATCCTCAGAGCAGAAGACCCCACAGCTTTTCAGTGAGTTTCAACACAGCCAAATGATCCTACCAACTCCAAAAGTAATGAAAATAATTTCTGGCGTAGTGTGGACACTAATCAACGCGTCTTAAGGTTCAACGTATTTCAATGTCGACTAAAAATCTGGAAAAAAATTAAAACAAAAAACTTAAATAAATAAATTAATTTGTAAACCGTAAAACAGTTTTTAACATTTACTTCGCATTATAATTTTTGAGCGGAAAATTGAAGCACCAGATTTATTTTTTAAGAAACAAAATCTCCTTGAAAACCAGGACACCTGCCAAAAGTTTTTCAGGAAATCCATGAAACAGACAAATTAAAAAGTTATCTCATAACAAACTATTATAGTTTAGAAAATTTTAAGCCAAAACTTATTTGCATATCCCGTATCTTGATATATAGAATGTCTACCGACTAATGTAGAGTGTCTCCCAGCTCTAATTGACTCAAGTATATTAGCTTCCAAGAGCTACATTTGTTTTGAATTTTTTATTCCGACTATTTGAGAAATGGGGAGGAACTTTGTTTTCGGGTGTGTTTAGTTTTTTTTGTTTTGTTGTCCCCGTAAAACCAGCTACCACAAACAATAATCAGACTGGATTGAATGATATATTATATTAAACCAAATTAAAGTTCTTTCAGTCGTGATTCGAAAGCGATTTTTAAAAATTTTGAAAATTTTTTTTAAGTGTTGAGAAAAACCGGTTTGAAATTTTTGATTTTCGTCTTAATTCCAGCGAATAAAGCAAGCGAGCAGGCTTACAACAGCTTAATTAGGAGAAATTTAAAATTTAAGCCCTAAAGACTTAACTTTGAGCAAGTAAAATTATTTTTGTAGTTTTTTAGCTTCGTTCTGGGAACTTAAAATTTTCTGCAAAAAAAAAATTGAAAAAAAAAAAATTGAAATTTTAAAAAATTGAAAAATTGATAAATTGAAAAATCGAAAAATTTGAAATTTTTTATTTTTTCTAATGTTTTTCTAGCCAATTTTCTACAAAAATGTTTGAGTCACATTTGCCTGTATTTCTATAAATGTCAAATATGACTAAAATACAGTCTTACATCAGACTTTTTTTTTATCACCCCATGCAGAAAAACTAATTTGAAAAAACAAGCTTCATCTTAGTTTTTTATTAAGACTATGGTCGGAACATTCTGTGCTACTTGCACAGTGACCGGCTATTCTTGCTCTATTTTTTAGTTTGTCAATAACCATAACAAAATTTTGATTTGAAAATTGACATTAAGACAACCTTTTTTGCGCTTTGTGTCCAATCCTTTATAAACTGTCGTGAGCGCCTAGAGATGCTTTAAAATTCGGACTTGATTGATCTTTGTAAAATTCGAAATGGTGGTAGACTGTATAACTGCGGTTGCATTCGGCACAAGTGGTACTGTGCGCGTGAGTCATAGTTTGCTGCTTATTTAGACGGGGCTAGTCTCATGATGGAATTTTTTCAACCCATCAAAATCAGTAAATTTTCTTCTCGCGGAATGGTTTTTGCACCGGACTAGAGTCAATATTAGCTGAGAATGAATAATAGCAAGAATATACAATTCATGCACATATAAAAAGTGTGTGTTTTGCTCTTCCATCATTCTTAAATCGGTATCTCTAAAATGAGGTTTTTTCAATGAATTTTCGATCTGGCAAAAGGTGAAATTTTAAGATTCTCTGTTTGATTGACAGCGACTTCGCTGAGCTCTCTTTCGTTTCAAACCAAGAACTTATTTTAGTTTAACGATGAAAATTAGATACTGTAGGACTGTTCACAAAAACAATCTTTCATTTCAGCATTCTGACGACGTGGCCAGTGGTTAACCGATTTCATGGGTGAGTCAATTTTTGAGTTTTAGAAGTTTTATTAATTAACTGATTGTAAAAACTTTATATTATCTTGTCAAGCCCTGAATCATGGGGCCCAGTAACCCAGTCAGCTTCGGTCGAAAAATCCGAAAAATAGTCAAAATTTCGCTTTCGGTTTTTGTAAAATTTTCTTTCGACGCAAAAATTTTTGTTGAAATACGATCCCTTAAGTGTGTTGAGAGACTTCGGAGGAACAGATCTGTTGACTCAATAAAGGCTGATAAGAATTAGTGTTTTTTTTTGAAAATTCGCTTCTGGGAAAAATGCCACAAGTTGAATTATGTTGTTATAAAATTATATTCTGCATTAGTTCCAATATTTCGTTTTTTTTGGCAAAAAAGTAATTTCAACTTGTGAATGATTTTGATGTCTGTGCTAAAAAGAAGAAAAACAGTTGAACTAAAATTTGCAATAATACGATTTTCTGCAATTAATCGTTTTGTCGTCTTTTTGCTAAAAAAAATACTCTGAACTTGTGATTGTTTTTGATGTCTTTGCGAAAAAAAGAAGAAAAAAATTGAATTATGATTTGTTATAATATGGTTTTCTGCTTTTAATCGAGTTATGTCGTCTTTTTGCCAAAAAAGGTACTTTTAACTTGTGATTGTTTTTGATGTCTGTGGGGAGGGGGGGGGGGAGAGAATAATAATGATCATGACTCTATTAGTGTGCCCTTTTCAGCTCAGTGGGGATATCGCCTGTGATCGAACTGCACTCAACTAGCTCTGCTTCAATTTTAACTGGCCACACAGATGTGAAGAGGGTGAAGTTCTGTGAGTTGAGTCGGTCGCCCTGGCAGCCTATGATCCCTCAGACAGACATGCCACAATGGTACAGGGCACTCAAGAAGTTTGGCCTCTTGGTCAACTCAGATAGAATGCAAGTGCTTCTAGAATACTCAAGTACACTACCTACATTGTTTTTTTTTATTTGTTCACTTAGCCTTTTTTATGTTTGAACTTTCCTTTTTACTTAAGAAAAATCGACGAAATTTTTTAAAGATTTTTTTTTGAAAATTAGCCCCCACCATCGAGAAAATCCTAGATCCGCCCCCTGATTTTAATGCATACATTTTGCCAATTAAAAAAAAAAAAAAAAAAAAAGCGCGTTTGTGCACCGAATTGTTTCTTGTCACCGTACTTTTTTTCAAAACGCGATTTGAAGAGATCACACAAAATGGGTGTTGAATTATTGTATCTTTGAGTGTCAATATGTTACCGCTTCAGTTGATAAAATGATCTTTAATGCACAATTGACATTCGTGCTTCAGTTTTTTTTAACTCTCTTTGCTTTATTTTTAGCACCGGGCATGATATACAATGACCTTAAATCAAACAGCTAACTTCTCAAAAAATGTTTCATTCAGATATTTATTCCTTTTTGCTAGGAAAATCTTAAATAGAGTTTTCCGAGCTACAGGCGAGAAACTTTGTTTGGTCAACCTAAAAAAAGGTCAAAAACCATTTTTTCCCTATTTCTCACAAAAGTCCCCCTCTTTGAGAAAATCCGATTTGAAAACCCTGATTTGAATGATTCCAAATTGAAAACAAGGATATCCGATTGCTGCGCAAGTAGCACGGGTGTTCCGAACATATTCCTAAAAAAAAATTGTTTTTTTTTCTTTTTTTTTTATATATATTTTTTATCATATTGGTGTCGGTTTTAGTGCGTGGTATAATTTGAGAACTATTCAAACGAGTATAACCTTAATAAAGTAGACATAGTCGACAAAACTCGACTTCAAAAAAGAATGATAAACAAAATTGAAAACTTTAAAATCAAACTTTCAAATTTTTTTCTGATTTTTCTGCACTAAAAAAATTTAGTTACAGAACCGTTATCGCCAAGAAAGCACGGTTATACATCCAAAACTAGATTTCTTTACAGTAAAATTAAAATTTTCTAGCCTAAATGTCCAAACAAAACTAAAGTTTCATAAAACGATTGGTTCGATTGCTTTAATTGAACTAAAAATCAAAAACTTTAAACCAGTTTTTCTCAAAACTGTAACATCTTTTTGAAAATTTTTAAATTTGTTGTCCCTGATTTTGCTTTTTAATAAAGAAATAAACTAAAACACACCCGAATACAAAATTGCTCCCCATTTTAACTGGTGGGAACATGAAAAAGACGGTTGGTTTCTGTTCCAGGGTTTTCCAGACACTTCTGGAGCCCAGCAATATAGTGCTGTTCGACAACTGGCGACTAGTGCATGCCAGAAGAGCTTTCTTCGGGGAGAGAACTATGATAGGCTGCTACATTACACACGAGGACTTCATCTACAAGGGCAGACTCATAGGCGCATTCTAGTCACAGCTGCAGCATCCATGTAGGGGGGGCTGCAGATTTAGGGGGGGTTATTCTCAAACAGAAGGAAAGGGTGCAAAAGTTTTCAAACATCGCCAACAGGCAGTTGGAAAGAGTCATGAACGCAAAGAATTTTATCGGCCCACTTTGCATGATTGATATGCAAAAAATCAGGTAGCAGAAATTAACTTGGGTGAGATTGCATACAAGGGGTATCACAATTTTTCTCAAGGAATTTCCAGAGGTTCTTTCCAAGAAATTGTTTGACGCCTTAATTTTGTGTCAACCCAATAATCTTTTCGAGCTCGTAGAAAACACTATGAAATCCTCATTTTGGCAAACACTCTTCGCAAACATAATTTGGACTCAATATAAGAATAAAATTTTACACAGCTTTTTCAAACAGTCTGTAAAGTATTCAGCGTCCGTGTAAGTTCGGTGCTAGGTAAATGTTGACTTATACTAAATTATCATTGCGTACTTGAGAACAATTTTGTAAACGTGAGGAAATTCACAATATCTCTAGGCCGACCTCTCACTCTGTTCCGCGTCGCCGCAATATGTTTCCCTTTAGCACTGGGTCGGTGGGGCAACCAAATCCCAGTACTGTTTACAATCCCAAAAGGGTTGATTTGGTGGATAGCCGTTCTGTATCGTATTATGCTGCTCGCCCCTTGTTTGTGCTCTTTCGACTGTATCTCGCTCGCAATCAATAGTCAATCGCAACAACAATTCCAATAATAATAATGAATTAAGAAATAATCAATCCAAATACAGAATAGCATATAAGTGGCTGGAATATAAATTAATCATTCAACCAAAGGAATGGGTCCGCGATTACTATTATTCAACCAACTGCCTCCTGCAGTTCAATTAACGCCTCACTAATATCTAATGTTCTCCTCGAGAACTTCTATCAGTTATCAATCGTTCGACAACGATTCCGCTATCCTCTAGATAGCCTAACTTACTTCACTAACTAATCTACTTTAACTTTCGACGAGTAACTTAACTCGTTCTCAATAACTCTGAGATACGACTCGTTAACAATTAACTCCCAATCGTTCTGACGCCTAAAGGCCGTTCCGCAACATCCGTGCCTTATGTCTATTTACTCTTAGTTTTAGTTAGAGATCCGTCATTCCGTATAAGTCTTAACATTTACCTATATGCCTCCTACGCAGCGTTCCAGTTCATAAATCCCGCATGATCACATTAATTTAAATGCCAAGTTCAAAATGCCAATCAAAGCTATGCTAAACAAATAACAAGTGCAACTTCAACTTAATTCAAGCTATGTTTACATATCCAAATACCCAAGGACTTTATTTAATTATCCCGCATCTTTTCCTTTCTCCCATGACTAGGATAAATTCCCAATGAACTTAATTTCCTAATTATCGCAATCCAAAAATTCCAATACATAACCCATTCAAATTTCAATCTAATCGACCTTCAGGGTAAGCCGTTCCCTCAACTGGGGTCCAATTGAGCCAATAAAACATTCCCCAGAAGCCAATGGAATATCCAGTACATTTCTAATATTTATGTTAATTAATTCCCTATTCCCTCTGTCATATTGCCAAATTAATATGTGACTACTTTTCTGTGCCATTGACGCATTTCTATTAATAGTTCATTCGCCAAGTCAAAATTTAACCCAATGTTTATTTAACTAACTCGTATTAAATCCAACAATATACCACTATACATTAAGCCAAGATATTCCATCGAATTCCAGGAAATGCCTAACTAATTTCCTATGCACGCAAATTGTCACCCAGTAGGGTCATCATCCTAATATACGATAGACCATGTCACTATCTACCATCCCTCCAAGTTTCAGCTCCCTAGGGTCATTGGGGGTCGAGGAGTAGCCTCCGGGAGTCGTGTGGGGGTTTGTTTGTTTAAGGCATAAATCGGGCCGGGGTGACCTTGAGGTTCCGAAACTTCAAACTTAAGCTTCCCTCATCCAGGGCTACCACATATATAAAAATGAGCTCAATCGGACCAGTAGTTAAGGATTTCCGGTGGGGCCGTTTGCACTTCCGGGAACCGTTATCACCCGGCCCCAGGGGGTCAAGCGGGTCCGGCGCTTTGCATGCCCGGGTCAAATCATCTCTAGTATCACTCCATTAAATTTCATAACGTTCGCCCTTATAGTTCCCGAGTTGGGGGGGGGGGGGTTGGCGGGAGCTATTGCATTCACTATTTTCACTAAAGAGGGGGATTAATCCCACGAACTTAATTAAACACGAGTTTAATTCAATCTTAACTTAACCACTCTATTATTTACCGATCTTTACCAGACGCTATCAACGAATCAGCTCTACTACTACTTAGTTTGCATGTTCAAGGTTCAAAGAAAAAGCCATGTACGTTATACAGTAGAATTACCGATTCTACAGTCTTCCCTTCTAGTCTATTATTCTCCCGAATAATGAAAAAGTAACTCGTAAAAAGCCTAAGGTTAACTTACATAACGCTTCGCTCCGCTACGCCGTACTCTCGTCTTAATTTAGTTTCCACCCTTTAAATTAATATCCTTAAAGATCGCGGACCCATCAGTTAGTCCCCATAAAACAAACAATGATATAGCACAATGATTAACCTAAGAGGGGACGTAACTGAAAATAATTTTACTCTTCCTGGTACGATCCAACCCTTTCACAATCATAATAATCACTATCAAATGTCCGCACAACAGTTCGGGTGGAATCGCACTCAAGTTAAATAAGCACCATATAATGAGATCAAGAAAAGAGTTTAGTAAACTAAGGTAAGTTTTAACTCACAAAATCGTCGATTCCAAACCTCACAGGTTGTCTCCTAACTCGAGTTGGTCGACCGCCATCATCTGCAGTGCCATTATCCATCACAGGTTCAGCTTCCACCGCATCTCCCGGAGGTATGCCTTCCTCCTCACTTGGTAGATTCGCTGGCTCCTCTTCCCTTCTGGCCTCGAGCTCCGTCGCATCGTACGTCTCAATCGCATCTTCTTCCCTCCTAGCCACTTCTCGCATCCGAGGTGGGTCAGCAAAATGTTCGGGCATCACCCTGTTTCGCACATTTCGCCCGGGTGGATTCACTGGTGGCTCTTCCGCTCGATTCCTCACAGGCAACAATCTCACTGGTCCATCTCGTGGGCCTGGGTCATGACTAAAACCCTCCCGGTTGTTCTGCCATAACAACTCATCTTCATCACGCATCTCCGGGTCATCGAAAAAGTTAACCGACCGATAGGGTGCCGGTCGCTTACTTGCTGTGGCCTCCTCTGGCTGGATCGTCTCTTCTTTGACTCGTTTCAGCTTGTTGAAATGCAGGAACTTCACTTTGCTCGGAGTTGATTCCTTCGCAACTTTGTAGTTCACTTCCGACATTCTCGCCAGTACAACATAAGGTCCTTCCCACGGATCGAAGTGCTTCTTCGACTTGAACTTTTCCTTCGCCCACACCCATACTTTATCGCCAGCTGTATAGGGTTCACCATGAACTTTCTTCCAGTACTGATCCTCCTGTCTTCGTTGATCCGTCCCTACGAGTTCTCTCGCACTGCTATGAGCATCTCTGAAAAGTTCATCCAGTTCCTCTGCAAAGCCATCCTTCGTCAATACTTCATCGTGGGGTTTCGCGTAGAAGAGGTCAATGGGATACTGGCATTCCTGTCCGTGAACCAAACTAAAAGGCGTAGCTCCCGTCGTTCGATGAGTCGTCGTGTTATACACAAAGCCCAGATACGGCAACATCGTATCCCACGTCTTTGGGTTCTCTGCACAATACTTCGAAATCACCTTCGCCATCTTGTCGTTGTATCGACCCGTCAGTTCTCTGCCTTCAGGTTTGTAGGGTAAAGTCGCAGTTATGTCAATTCCCAAGAGCCGACACATCGTCTTGATCAGTTCGCTGCCAAAGACTTTTCCTTGGTCCGTACGTAAAGCATTGGGAGTTCCAAACTTCAGTACCCAATGTTCCACAATTGCTTGAGCCACGTCTGATGCATCTGTCGATACGAGAGGGACCGTTATCGCATACATTGTGAACAAATCCGTCATCACTAGCACATGCCTCGCCTTCGTCTGAGTTGCCATCGTCATTGGACCAAGTACATCCACTGCCACTGTGTTGAATCTGATTCCGGGATCAAACGGAGCTTGAACCGCAGCTCGCTTTCTCTTCCCGCTGACATTATGTGCACCCTGGCTTAAGCACCACTGGACTTTTCTTTCGACATCCGTCCTCATCGTCGGCCACCAATATCGTCGTCGTATCTTCGCTAACATCTTCTCGGTCGCAAGTTGTCCTCCCCCAGTTTCCATCGAGTCAAACCGTCCGAGGATCTCCTTTCGTCCCGCTGCTGGAACAACCGTCAAAAGTGTCGGCTTTGACCCATCTCTCTGGAACCATTTCTTGTAGAGTATTCCACCTCGAATACTCAGCTCATCCCATCTCGACCAGTATGCTAGTGCCTCAGGTCCGTACTGAATTGCCTGTCCCTTCGGAATAAGATTCGGTCCCAAAGAAGGCATATCGCTCGTCTCGTCTGCTGTTTCCGCCCAATAGAATACTTGCGCAATCGCTTCGTCTTCTTTCTGCATCGTCGCAATTTCTTCTTTCGTTCGTTCCCATCGAATCGCATCGCCGTCGTCCTCATCGCCCATTTTTGTCTCTTGAACCACCGCAACTCTCTCTGATCGGCCTCCGCCACGAGTCAATCCCAATGCCTCATCCAAGGAAACAGGCTTTGGGCATCCATACATTTCATCTTCTTCAGCTTCGTTCTCTTGAACCACATTTACACTGTGATCGTCATAACTAGTCGGCCATCCTTCTAAGATTTCATCAGGAGACTCTACTGCCGCTGTTTTCTTCGCAATCAACCTCTTCCGCATGTCCGTTCTCGGAATATCTTTTCCCTTAATCCGCCCGCCCGGATCATGTGGCAGAGAGGGCATCCGTTCCGGAGAATACCGTTGATTCACGTGCCGGATTGGCACCATTGAACCCTCTCTCGTCCCTGTC